AAACGTTTTATTTATCCATTCATTGATTGATGGACTTTGGGTTTGTTCCACGATTTTGCAGCTGTGAATTGTACTGCTATAAACATGCATGTGCAAGTGTCTTTTTCATACAATAACTTCTTTTCCTCTGGGTAAATACCCAGTAGTGGTATTGCTGGATCAAATTAGTTCTCGTTTTAGTTCTTTAAGGAATCTCCACTGTGTTTTTCATCGTGGTTGTACTAGTTTACATTCCCACCAGCAGAGTAGAAGCATTCCCCGATCATTGCATCCACACCAACATCTACTGTTTTTTTATTTTTTTATTATGGCCATTCTTGCAGGCATTAGGTGGGATCACATCATGGTTTTGATTTGCATTTCCCTGATCATTAATGATGTTGAGCATTTTTTCATGTGTTTGTTGGCCATTTGTACATCTTCTTTTGAGAGCTGTCTATTCATGTCCTTAGCTCACTTTTTGATGGGATTGTTTTTCTTCTTTCCTTAAAAAAAAAAAACAATGATTTGTTTGAGTTCGTTGTGTATTCTGGATATCAGTCCTCTGTTGGATGTATAGATTGGACAGATTTTCTCCCACTCTCTGGGTTGTCTGTTTACTCTGCTGACTATTCCTTATGCCGTGCAAAAGCTCTTTAGTTTAATTAAGTCCAAATGATTTATCTTCGTTTTTATTGTATTTGCTTTTGAGTTCTTGGTCATGAAATCCTTGCCTAAGCCAATGGCTAGAAGGCTTTTTCCAATGTTATCTTCTAGAATTTTATAGTTTTAGGTCTTAGAATTAAGTCCTTAATTCATCTTAAGTTGAGATCTGTATAAGATGAGAGATGAGGATCCAGTTTCATTCTCCTACATGTGGCTAGCCAATTATCTCAGCATCATTTTTTGAATAGGGTGCCCTTTCTCCATTTTATGTTTTTGTTTGCTTTGTCGAAGATCAGTTGGCTTAAGTATTTGGGTTTATTTCTAGGTTCCCTATTCCATTCCATTGGTCTATGTGCCTATTTTTATACCAGTACCATGCTGTTTTGGTGACTATGACTTTATAGTATAGTTTGAAATCTAATTGTGTAGTACCTACAGATTTGTTCTTTTGCTTAGTCTTGCTTTGGCTATGTGGGCTCTTTTTTGGTTCCATAGGAATTTTAGAATTGTTTTTTCTAGTTCTGTGAAGAATGATGGTGGTATTTTGTTGAGCATTGCATCGAACTGAATTTGTAGATTGTTTTGGCACTATGGTCATTTTCACAATATTGCTTCTACCCATCCATGAGCATGGGATGTATTTTCATTTGTTTGTGTCATCTGTAATTTCTTTCAGCAGTGTTTTGTAGTTTTCCTTGTAGAAGTCTTTTGCTTCCTTAGTTAGGTATATTCCTAAGTATTGTTTTGTTTTTTGTTTTTTATTTTTTTTGGTTTTTGCAGCTATTGTAAAGGGGTTGAACTCTTGATTTGATTCTCTCCTTGGTCGCTGTTGGTGTAGAGAAGAGTTGATTCATGTACATTAATTTTGAATCTGGAAACTTTGCTGCATTTTTTTTATCAGTTCTAGAAGCTTTTGGAGAACTCTTTAGGGTTTCTTAGGTACACAGTCATATTATCAGCAAACAGAAGCAGTTTGACTTCCTCTTTACTGATTTAGATGCCTTTATTTCTTTCTCTTGTCTGATTGCTCTGGCTAGGACTTCCAGTACTACATTGAAGAGAGGTGGTGAGAGTGGGCATCCTTGTCTTGTTCCAGTTCTCAGAGGGAATCTTTCAACTTTTCCCCATTCAGTATTATGTTGGCTGTGGGTTTGTCACAGATGGCTTTTATTTCATTATGTCCCTGTATACTGGTTTTGCTGAGGTTTTTTTTTATCATAAAGGGATGCTGGATTTTGTTGAATGCGTTTTTGCATCTATTGAGATGGTCATGGGATTTTTGTTTTTAATTGTGTATCACATTAATTGACTAGTGTATGTTAAACCATCCTGCAACCCTGGTATGAAACCCTCTTGATCATGGTGGATTATCTTTTTGATATGTTGTTGGATTCAGTTAGCTAGTATTTTGTTAACAATTTTAGCATCTATGTTCATCAAGGATATTGGTCTGTAGTTTTCTTTTTTGGTTATGTCTTTCCCTCATTTGGGTATTATGGTGATGCTGACTTCATAGAATGAATTAGGGAAGGTTTCTTCTTTCTCTTTCTTGTGGAATAGTATCAAAAGAATTGATACCAATTCTTCTTTGAATGTCTGGTAGAATTCAGCTGTGAATCCATCTGATCCTGGACTTTTTTTTGTTGGTAATTTTTAAATTACCATTTCAATCTCACTGCTTGTTATTGGTCTGTTCAGGGTGTCTATTTCTTACTGATTTAAGCTAGGAGGGTTGTATTTTTCTAGGAATTTATCTGTCTCTTCTAGGTTTATTAGTTTATGCGTGTAAACATACTCATAGTTGCCTTGAATGATCTTTTGTTTTTCAGTGGTGTCAGTTGTAATATCTCACTTCATTTCTTAATGAGGCTATTTGGATTTTCTCTCTTCTTTTCCTGGTTAATAATGCTAAGGGTCTATTTTATCTCTTCAAAGAACCAGCTTTTTGTTTCATTTATCGTTTATACTTTATTGTTGTTGTTTCAGTTTCATTTAGTTCTGCTCTGATCTTGGTTATATCCTTTCTTCTGCTAAGTGTGGCTTTGGTTTGTTCTTGTTTCCCTAGTTCCTTGAGGTGTAACCTTAGAATGTCAGTTTGTACTCTTTCAGTCTTTTTGATGTAAGTCTTTAGGGCTATGAACTTTCCTCTTAGCACTGCCTTTGCTGTATCCCAGAGGTTTTGATATATTGTGTCATTATTGTCATTCAGGTTGAGTAATTTTTTAATTTCCATCTTGATTGCATATTTGACCCAATGATAATTCAGGAGCAGATTATTTAATCCCCATGTATTTTGCAGAATTTCTGTTTTAAATTCAGACATAATATTTCCACAGCCTTTCTTTATGTCTTATAATAAAATACAACTGCCTTCAGAGACTTTTTTTTTAATCCCTTATCTTTTCTTAATTTGTCCTCAAATGACCATCAGGAAAATCAGAAAGTTTAATGTGCCAAGAGTCACAAAAATGCCATTCTGATAAGCAATCAAAGCAAGGACATGTGTCTAAAAAAAGACTTGATTTATTTTATGAGCTTGCTAAAAGGGGTTCGTAAGCTGAATTTTTCAGTCAGTAAATTCGGTTTCATCATGAAATGGGTAATAGGACAAAATTAGTCCAAATTTCAGGACTTTTCCACCTCAAATAATTGCCTATATCAAAACTACAAGTTATAATTATTACCAATAATCAATCATTCTGTAGAAACCACTCTTACTGAATACATGCATGTAAAGAAGAATCAAGAAAATGAGTCAGAAATGCGGAGACTCACAGTTTTTTTATTATTTTTCTCTCTGTAGCACCCCACAAAAAAAAAAAATCCTTGAGCCTGAACTCTGATTAAATGTAAAACACTGCATGCCAATGATTTTGAGCATAAGATGCAATTAGTGTATGATACGCTACCAGTAACCCCAGGGGTGAGTCTTCTCCATCTGGTGTTATTTTGTTTTGTTTTTAACTTCTTTTAATTATTACTATTAAATGCTTAGGATAAAGTGTTATTTTTCCCAGTAAGAGCAGTATAAAAATTGTTCTGACCTATGTGATTTACCATAGTTAATACACCAATTTTAAATAGGAAAAAATTAAGATAAAACATATTGCTGAAACAAGATGAGAAAATCAGATAAAATTCTAACAGCTACCCTGAGTAAAAGATATAACTAATTAGTCTGGATAAACCCCTTTTGTTCATTATTTTACTAATTATCTGATGCTAAACACATAACTATTCTATTTAATTTCCCAACAGATTTTCCTAATGTATCCACATTGTTTAATATTCTACAATTTCTTCACTAATAGATATCATATTGATCTTGCTGATACAGAGAAAAGAATTTAGAGCATGAATTCTGCAGCTATCATATGCAAAATAATTGAAAATTAACTTTCTTAAATAGCGTATTAAGCACATGGTTGGTATTTAACAATTATTAGACATCATTCTTCTTTTCTTCATTCTTGTCTTACTCTCTTTCTTTATTACAGGGAGTGGAAAAAGCATGGAACCAGGAGTCGAGGGAATGATCTAGTGTTGGACTGTCACTGCTAGACATCACAGCAACCTCAGTATATTCACCTTTAATGCTGTTTCCCTTTTCTACATCATATAGTTTTGTGAATGAGACAATGAATGTAAGAAAATTATCAAGTTGTCATATCCTATATAAAAGTAAGGTGTTATTAGCAGGACTTTAAAGTGAAATCTAAAGAGATTATTTGGGCCTTTTAATAATTTGTCACAGCCTCTATTATTTACAAGTCTTAGATGACTTTCAGTTTGAAAGGGCTCCAAGTAGCTATTCGTGTTTCTCTAACCCCATGAACATATGTCACTCAAAAATCACTGCCATTACGTTTCAAGAGCCTAATTCTTATTTCATGAAAAGCTTGGGGACCCAGAAAAGATAAAAGTCTGGCCTATGTTAATGCCTACACTCAATTATATAATACTGAACATACCAAAGATGTCTAAAATGTATTTCAGAGCATCAAAATAGCAAAACCAGTTTTCAAGTGGCACAATTAACATAGTCTGAGAGTGAGAGACAGACTGTGTGGAACAGTGGGTAGAATAATGAAGTCTTCAGTTTATACTAATTCCTGTGAAGCCTCCATTCTCATCCTAGTTCTCTATCACCAACAAAGAAGGTAAAGCTATGACCAAATCTTCTATTTAGGCAGCATATTCAAAAAATGTAGAAATTATACAGGTTGTACCAGGAGCCTGTGTATTATTTGTTCCTTTTTTGAGAAGACATAAAATGAGTGCCACAACCAAATATTTTTCGAAAGGATTAAAGACAATCCCTTGAGAGTAAGTAGCCATGCATTATATAATCTTACCATTAAATCAGTGGCAACTGATTGAACCAGAGATTTGTGCATTAACTCCAGAAGAGCTCTTTGGAGACTGACAGCAGCATAGGAATGTTCTGGGACCAGAGCTCTATCCAACAGGGGTAATCTAAGCCAGATGGTGATGAGCCAGCCTAGAAGGATCTTTCCTGAAAATCTGAATTTGAGACAAAAAAAGGGAATTGATAGGGCATAAGGACAGTTTAACTTAGCATTTAAGAATGTGGTATGTGAAGTCTTAGTGCCTATATTCTAACCCCAGTTCTCTCAGTGACCAACAAAAAACCTTAAAGCAAGTAAGTGAACCCCTCTGGACTTCATTTTCCTCACCTGTAAAATTAGAAAAATAATAGCATAGGAGGACATTTAAAAAGGGCAATTAATCATTGTTTAGCACCTACAATAAATCCATTAAAATATAGTCCAAAAATTCTGAGCAAATGTCAAAAGTATGATTATTACTTTATCTTAAAAATAGAATTTAACAATAAGCATTTTAAAATATTACTAATGTGTAAGTTACAGCTCTCAGTATATACGAAGTATTAGAATGAACAAAGAGCAAAGTCATGAAGTTAGGAGGGCAAAACAAAATGCTAGGATAATATGGTTACTTTGCATTTTGCATTTTTAAAAACATAGTCCATGACTTCTAAAATTATTCCAGGACTTTACTACTCAAATCTTTCTTTTTTGGGCATGTTTATTATGTTGTAATCCATGTCCCTGTTATCTTCTCCAATTGTTAACTGGCCACACTTCTCATTTATCAATGGCTTTTCGGTTGACAACTTCATTAAATTCTACATCTTTTGCAAATTTTACTATTATGCTTTGCATTACCTTTACATTGTATATGAGTGGTTGTTAATCACCAAAACTAACAATAAACGAGGAGGGGCTTTTGGGTAGGAAACAGTTTTCTGTTCATTTGTCAATATTTTCCTATTGTGATGGCTTTGGGGGTCCCTATGCACTCAATGTGGGAACTAAGGTAATGACTGGTCAGATGAGAAAGACACCCTATACCTTATGAGAGTGAAAATTAGATTTAGTTTGGCACACAGTAAGCCTCTAATGTTTTCTTATTTGTATTTTAAAAGATAAATGGCAATAAGCAGAAGCCACTGGCAGAAACAAAGAGAGAAGAAAAGAGTAACGAACTGATGATGGAACAGGAAGAAAACAACCAAGGGAAGCAAAGAGCTGCTGAGTCATGAGCACGACCGGCAGCTAGAATCAGCCCGGGCTCCCCAGAGCTGTGCTCATCTGAACGCCGCCGGCTTGCTCAGAATTTCCTGGCTGTCCTTACAGACTTCGTGTGCATCGTGACAATATGCCACTCTCACCTGAGGGAATCTAAGGATGTCGCTATCCTGAAATAGCCAATACCCCAGTTGAATCTGTTTGTTAAATCTTAGTCAACCAGATTTGTTTCTAAGGAGACACTGAAAAAAAGGAAAAAAAGAAAAACATTCTTTTCCCTGCATAAAAGAGCCCTTTTCTTTTTAGATCTTCCTGAGTCTCAAAACTCTTCTTGTCCTTGAGTTTCAATAAATTCCAAAGGATACTTTCTCCAACCTTCACATAAAAGAAAACAATTCCTTAATAATATATTAAGTGATTATTAGCAATTTACAATTCACATAGCTTCGTATATCACATTTACAAAAGGAGAGTTTAAATATAACAAACCCTGGAAATGGAATGTAGAAATGTTCATTTTTAATAAGATCGCTAGTTAGCTAATCAATCCCTTATTTCACATTTTTCACTACTAAATGAGCCAATTCCAGTTTTACCTTCTTAGGAATATTGATATGTCATATACAGTTGTGAGTGTCTGTCTGTCTGTCTGTCTGTCTCACTCTGTCACCCAGGCTGGAGCACTGTGGCACTATCACAGCTCACTGCAGCCTCGACCTTGTAGGCTCAAGTGATCCTCCCACCTCAGCCTCCTGAGTAGCTGGGACTATAGGCACATGCCACCAATGCCTGGCTAATTTTTATATTTTTGGAGAGACAGGGTTTCTTTATGTTGCCCAGGCTAGTTGTGAGTGTTTAAAAACTTCAGTCACACATACATGAAGAGTCTCTTGGTTTATTTCATAAATTACTAGTATCATCTACAAGCTTTTCATTCACTAATTCATTATTTTATTCAACAATTATGTATTAAGCAGACTCTTACCAAGTACCAAGTAATGCATTAGATGCATTAGAGACTGGATCTTAGTAGCTTAACTTTCAGGGTCAAACTTTTGGAGACCATAATGACACAACCTGGATAGCCATGAGGAGACCTGATGATGACAACCCAAGTGGAGCTTCCTATGGACACATTAAATACACATGGGGACTAAGTTCTACAGTAGAAAAATTATAGACTTGGAATTAGAATCCCAGCTTTGCCACTGCCTTGCTTGCTATTGATTTGGGGCAGTGTCTTCACCTCTCTAAGTACCTATAAAATGTGAACAACAGCACCTATTTCATTGTGGCACAAGGATAGGACGTAATGATAACATACATGAAGTGTCTGGTCAGTGAACATCTAATAAGTGTTCAATAACAAACAATCGCTGTTCTTATGAAAGAAAGGTAGCCTTTTTTCTAAGGGAGGTTCTTGGAACCCCCAATATTATGCATTATTAACATTCTCATTTTTAGATGGAAAAAACTTAAGCACAGAGAAGTTAAACCATTCATTCATATAATAAAATTTTTTAGCACTATATGGGGTACTAATCTCTGCAAATACAGGATTCAGAGGACAGAGTTTGAACTCAGCACACCCACTGTCTCACAGAGGAGACACAGGAGAGTGCTAAGTGCCCCAGAAAGGGAAGAACACGTTTGTGGGAAAACACAGAGAATGAGCTCATTCTGAGTGCAGGCTAGAGTGGTGGCAATGAGGCTCCCCAGCGCGTAAGCCCTAGCTGAGCTGGGAAGGAAGTATCCTGACAAAAGCCTGGCCTTGAAACCAAATCCCTGTCTCCAAGACCAGTGAACTTCCTACTATGCGAAAGCCTCTTTAATTAAATTCAGTGAATTGTTTTCTTAGCGCCCGCTCCATGGAAAAGACTGCCCTAGATGGAAACAAAGGTGAATCATTATAGTTCTTATCTCATGAAAGCAAAGGAAAATAAGACAGGCATACAGATAACCAACTCACAACATACGAGGCAAAAGACAGTTTCATATTAAAAATCAGGTATTGGGCATTCTACTTCAGCTTTCACATATTCTTAGACTTTCAGTCTAGACGCTACTGACTCCTCACATCCCATGTGATAACCCGTCACTAAACAGTCACAAAAGTGAATTCCGCCACGTCACTATCATCCGTGCTGTTCATGCTGAATGGTTGGTATTCACCACCTTATCTGTGAATTGTGATATAATTTCTTTAATTTATGATATTGAAAGGAGCTTCTTTTATCACTTGTAGGTGTGAAGAATTTTATATTTCACTGTAAACAATGTTTCTGCTTATTTTACAATGTTTACTGGTGAAACATATTTGAAAATATTTTATTAAGGTAACTACAAATTTATCTTTAGTTTTCTTTCTTTCTTTCTTCTTTTTGGAAACAGGTTCTCACTCTGTCACCCAGGCTGCAACCTCTACCTCCTGGGTTCAAGCAATTCTCCGAACTCAGTTTCCCACGTAGCTAGGACTATAGGCACACGCTGCCATGCCCATTTAATTTCTGTATTTTTGGTAGAGACAAGCTTTCACCATATTGGCTAGGCTGGTCTTGAACTCCTGACCTCAAGTGATCCTCCTGCCTAGGCCTCCCAAAGTGCTGAGATTACAGGCATAGGCCACCATGCCCAGATCTTTAGTTTTCTTTTGAATGCTTTCTTCCTCAGTTTGGGTACCAGAATTATGCTTGCATAATTGGGGAAATTTCCTCTCACTCTGTGCTTTGGAGCAATATAACAATTATCTGGTTCTTAGAAATCCATTTGACTCAGCAATCCCATTACTGAGTATATACTCAAAGGATTATAAATTATTCTACTCTGAAAACACATTCACACATATGTTTATTATAGCACTATTTACAATAGCAAAGACTTGGAACCAACCCAAATGTCTATCAATGATAAACTGGATAAAGAAAATGTGGCACATATACACCATGGAATATTATGCAGCCATAAAAAACGATGACTTCATGTCCTTTGCAGGGACATCAATGAAGCTGGAAGCCATCATTCTCAGCAAACTAACACAGGAACAGAAAGCCAAACACCACATGTTGTCACTCATAAGTGGGAGCTGAACAGTGAGAACACACAGACACAGGGAGGGGAACAACACACACCAGAGCCTGTCAGAGGGTTGGGGGCAAGGGAAGGTATAGCATTAGGACAAACACCTAATGCATGCAGGGCTTAAAACCTAGATGATGGGTTGGTAGGTGCAGCAAACCACCATGGCACATATACACCTATGTAACAAACCTGCACGTTCTGCACATGTATTCCAGAATTTAAAGGAAAATTTTTAAATAATTTAAAAATAATAAAAGAATCATCTGGTTCTTAATGCTTTACACAGTGCATCTAACAAAATGTATTGAACCGTGGTGTCTCTACTTTTTAACAGCTGCACTCACTGGTCAACACAGACCCATCTTTGTAATTCTTCTTAATACAGCACTACTCAAAACCATTAAGTGATAAGCGTGGATTAGCTAATTTATTTTCAATTTTTCTGCTATATTACAAAATTAATTTAAGACTTGGATTATTTTCTATGTATGTTTTTGAACACATCCCATAGATTTTCATATATGATTTTATCTCATTTTTAATAATTTCTAAATAGCCTTTGATTTTTAATTTTCTCCTATTTAGTACACTATCCATATAAAGTAATGCCTAAGGAAACATATGATATGAGTCACTAGTAAAGTTTCTAAAATAATATAATTTAACCCTCACCTCTCGCCCTCAGGGCATGCTTGCTTAAACCTGTTGCTCCAAAATGAAAACTCTTCCAGGGTAAGTTGAGGAAATGACCCACTAACTTGCTTCTCAAGAGGCTCCATATTACCTGCTATTCAAGTCTGATTAGTTTGGCTCCATGTGGTTCCCTGTGTTTCACATGCTCCAGAACTTCTACATTTTTTATATGTCAATGGTAGACAGGTACACTTCTCTCCCTTTTCCAGTAGTGCTATAGCAGTTTTCTTTTTCTTTTTTTTTTTTTTTTTTTTACGTTTTTATTCTTTTGATGGACTGTAAGAAGGTGAGGCAGAGGAGGAGAGGTAAGTACATAGGCCCCACATAAAAACCTAAAAGCAGAAATGAAGACTGTGTTTTTCCTTTGGAGCCCTTACCGACTGACTACTCTTAAGGTTTTCCTATTTGTTTTCCTCTTCCTGAATCTCAGCACGTTGTCTAGACTGATAATTTTGCATATTTCATAATTGCTATAATGGATTTCAGCAGTTGAATCCAAATACAGCAATAGTGGTTATGTAAGAACAGAAACCCAGAGCTTAAGTGTAGTAAAAGAATGAAGAAAGTTGCTTGCTATAATTATGAAAGGTTTAAAACCATTAGAGAATGTTCTGTCCTCTAAAATCTGTACTGTGTTAGGCCTCGGTCCATTTGCCTGACAAAAACTACGAAGAGATAACTAACCTATTATATAATGGTTGAAAGCGGAAAGCCTTTAAAAGTCTCAGAAGTAAGCTACTTTTATATTAGATTTTATTAATTATTAAATTAATAAACATATAGCTTCATTCAAACATGTATTATAAAAAATAGTAGAATGAGAATAAATAATAATGTCATCTGATTTTTTTAATCCTGCAGGGTATTTTTAAATGTTTTTACTAGAGGAAATGTGAGATTATCCACATGTTAAAATGCTTAAATGAATATCCTATATATCACTGCCTTGTCAATTTTCCCCTTGATTTGAACCTCTGTTAAGTAGTTTTACAAACAAAGTGTTCCATTTACAACAGGTAAGAACCATACTTAAAAAATAGTAAGTTCTGTTTTAAGTTACAAAGGGGAAAATACTAACAGAAAAAATAGGGCCAGGTGCAGTGGCTCATGCCTGTAATCCCTGCACTTTGGGAGGCTGAGGCAGGCAGATCACAAGGTCAGGAGATCGAGACCATCCTGGCTAACACAGTGAAACCCCATCTCTACTAAAAATACAAAAAATTAGCCAGATGTGGTGGCAGGTGCCTGTAGTCCCAGCTAGTCAGGAGGCTGAGGCAAGAGAATCGCTTGAACTGGGAGGCACAGCTTGCAGTGAGCCAAGGTGGTGCCATTGCACTCCAGCCTGGGCCACAGAGCAAGACTTCATCTCAAAAAAAAGAAAAAATAGAAAATTAATTTGTAAACAATGCAAAATTCAATGCTAATATGGAAACCTTATAAAGTTACAAACAGAATTTATTTATAGACATCATGAACATATGAACCTCTGAACCAAGTAACACTGATACAGATAGCAGACTCCCTGGAAAAGTAATCATTCATTCGTACTACTATACTCAAGGATCCTCATTTTGCTAAGAAAAAGAGAAACAGTTACTATTTTTTAAATTATTATTTCTCTTCTTTTCTCTTCACTCCATTTCTCCCTATCCCCCAGTTTCCACGTAGCCTTTTAGAAATGTAAGGGTAAGGGTAACATTTTACCTTCCCTTCACCAGACACGCCCTGCAGGGCAAGTTGATCTATGTGCTCAGAAGCTCCAGAACAGAGCTCTCACCCACCAGTAGGTTGCTTTGAGAGATAATAATTGATTTACAATCCAAGGTCCTACTGCAAAACTCTTTCTCTCACCTAGAGAGTTTTCAGGCACCTTTACAACCTATTTCTGCCCATGAAGACACCAACTCAACTGCTCAGTAGATAAGGCACTAAGCTGATACATGGAGTCCCCACCTGTTTGCTACTTCCCCTGTGTGCCATTCATGATAGGTCCTCTTTAAAAGCACCTACTTTCTGCACCAAAGGCAAAGCAGTACCCTCAAGGCAGGAAGCCTGTACTTCTTCCCCTAAGCTAGCTTTGGAATAAAAAGGCATTTTCTTTATACCAGACCTCCCTCTTGTTAACTGGACTCTGCAAGCAGTGAGCAACTGAACCTGAGTTTGTAACACCATCATCCATCCATTCCCTTAGCAATGGCTGAGTATCCTCTATGGGCCAACATACAAAAATAAACACCATAACTAACAGTCTAGTCAGAGTACTGACAAGACACTAGGCAATTGCAATTCATCACGGTAAGTAAATTGATAGGTGCTGTGAGAACACGTAGGAGAGGCATCTCAGTCAGATGTGTTAGTGGCAGGAGGAAAAGTCTTCAGGAGAGAAAGTTTATGTAAGCAATACCTGAAGGAGTATGAATAATATAGAAGTTAGTCAGATGAAGAATCGGATGAATAAGAAAGAGGTCCAAGACAGAGGAATGAGGAAGCATGGCATGTAAAGGAACTAAAACAATTTAATAGGATAATAGCATAGAGAGCAAGGCAGGGGTACCAAAAGATAAGCGTGGGAAGGCATTCAGGGGCCAGATATAGAGAATCTTGTCATTCAAGTAAAGGAATTTAGAACCTAAGGGCAATGAAAAGCCATTAGTGGTTTTAAGCAGGAAAGGAACAATGATCAGATAATTGTTTTAGTACAATCATGCTGACTAAAAAATAAGTAATTTAGAAAAAAAAATAGATGAAAGATTAGATGTCTTGCTTCAATTCATAAGAAAGATAAGAAGAGAATTAGAAAAATGGAAATGGGAGTAGAGAGAAGGAGCTTATATTTAAGAATAAAATTCAGCCTGGACAACATAGTGAGACCCCATCTCTACAAAAAAATTTTTAAAAATTAGCCAGGTTTGATGGCATGCACCTGAAGTTCCAGCTACTCCAGGGGCTGAGGTGGGAGGACAGCTTGAGCCCAGGAGGTTGAGACTGCAGGGAGCAGTGATTGTGCCACTGCACTCCAGCCTGGGTGACAAAAGGTTCTGTCTCAAAAAATATCTTTTTAATTTTAAAAAATTGTAAAAAGAAATAAAAGCTTTTTTCCAAAAAAAATTTTTTTTTGAGATGGAGTTTCACTCTTGTTGCCCAGGCTGGGGTGCAACGGCACCATCTCAGCTCACAGCAACCTCCATCTCCCGGGTTCAAGCAATTTTCCTGCCTCAGCCTCCTAAGTAACTGGGATTACAGGCATGCGCCACCACACCCTGCTAATTTTGTATTTTTAGTACAGATGGGGTTTCTCTATGTTGGTCAGGCTGGTCCTGAACTCCGGACCTCAGGTGATCTGCCCGCCTTGGCCTCCCAAACTCCTAGGATTACAGGCGTGAGCCACTGCGCCTGGACCCAAATTTTTAAATTTGTATAATGGGCAGAAATAAGTAGGATAGATCTAATATGGGATTAGGAGAGGCTAGGACTCAAAGGTGATTACCCTCTCCCTCCCATTTTTTGTCTCAGGTATGGTAGCATTCACTGAGATAGAGAACAAAGGCAAAGAAATAGCTTTAGGAGCAAAGATAGAAAATGCTAAATGCTGTGGGGTTTTTCTTTTGAACTGCCTTTTCATCATCTAAGTGAATCAAGCTAGGTCAACGAGCTGTAAGGGCCTGAGATGAGCAGAGATCAGCACAAGTATTCGTCAGTATTCAGATCACACCTGAATTTATGGGAATGGATAGTAAATCTGAGAGAGAGAGTAAATCTGCAGAACAAAAAGAGACAATATCTAAGAAATTTCAACAGTTAAAAGGCAAATGAACAGAAGCTAAAAAGGAGATTGAAAGGAGACAACCTCTTCCCAAATAAAAAGAAAAATCTGATATTTCTACAAACATTCCCTGGCTTAGACCTAAGAGACCTATGGAGAAAATTTTCCTGACCACCTTAAATCACAGCTCTGCTAATCCTTTAAATTCTCATAACCATCAGCACTTATCCTCTTCCCTACCCTCCCCCAAAGCACATATGCTCACAACACACTTCCTTATGGTCATAAAGCTGTGTTCTTGACTGCTTCTCTCTTTCAAATCAAAAGGGAGTCTATTAAGGAGGTCTGTTGATGTACTACATGACAAAAAGAAACCCTAAATATTTAATATTACTTTTTAAGAGGGGGAATCAGAAGGATAGAAGGCATGTGGGTAAAACAAGTTATTAAAAAATGAAAAAATAAGAAAAAGTAAATAAATTTAAAAAGAGGCTTCACAAAGCATAGACAACTTCCTCCAGACACCCTTTATGTTTTATCAGTCATCTGCCAGCCCTGGAAGGAATCATGATATACCCCAAGAGACAGAAGAAATGGGTGACGATTCTATATCTTATTTCCAGAAAACCTGCAGACTCCCTGAGGATCATGACTTTATGGAAAGGCAATCAAATGAGATTTTGACATCTCACAGTCAGGGTGAGCTTTTGAAGAGGCAGATTGGATAACTGTTTCCCAATGGCTCTCTTATTATTCTGCCCATATCAGCTGACCTCAGCACACGTGAGGGAGCTCAGCCAGACCTGCAGAGCCATTCAGCCCAGCCCAGCCTGGCCCTGCCAAAACCAGTATAGCAACTTACTTCACCAATTTCACCTTTTAAAATGAAGGAAGAGCTGGGCGCAGTGGGTCACATCTGTTACCCAGCACTTTAGGAGACTGAGGCAGGAGGACCCTTGAGCTCAGGAGTTCAAGGCTAGCCTAGGAGACATAGCAAGACCTTGTCTCTACTAAAACTCAAAAAACTTAGCCAGGAATGGTGGCTTACAGCTGTGGTCACAGTTACTCAGGAGGCTGAAGATGGAGGATCACTTGCGTGTTGGAGGTTGAGGCTGAAATGAGCCATGATTGTGCCACTACCAGATGCTGTCTCTAAGAAAAAAAAAAAAAAAGGCAGAAATAAGTAGAATTTTTTAAATTCCTACAGTTTGTGGTCAATGAGATGGTATGTGTGACATAGTTTGGATGTGCCCTCCAAATATGTTGAGATATAATCCCCAGTGTTGGAGGTAGGGCCTGGTGGAAGGTATTTAGATCATGTGGGCAGATTCCTCGTGGCTTGGTGCTGTCCTCACCACAGTGACTTAATTCTTACAAGAACCGACCCTTTAAAAGTGTGCAGAGTCTCCCCTCCCTCCCTCTCCCTCGTTTCTGCTTTGACCGTGTGGCGTGCAAGCTTCCACTTTGCCTACCGCCATAAGTAAAAGCTCCCTAGGTATCTTCAGAAGTTGCAATGTTATGCTTCCCATACAGCCTGCAGAACCATGAGCCAATTAAGCCTCTTATAAATTACCCTGGTCTCAGGTAATTATCTACAGCAATGCAAGAATGGCCTGATGAAGTGATTTTTAGAGACAGGGTTTCATTGTGTTGCCCAGGCTAAAGTCCAGTGGCACAATCATAGTTCGCTGCAGTCTAAAACCCGTGGGCTCAAGGGAGCCTTCCAGAATAGCTAGTTCCTTGGGAAAATGCCACTGTGCCTAGCTGATTTTTGTTCCGTTTGTTTGTTTCTAGAGACAAGGTCTCACTATGTTGTCCAGCCTGATCTAGAACTCCTTTGCTCAAGGGAGCCTCCCACCTTGGCCTTCCAAAGTACTGGGATTACAGGTGTGAGCCACCAAGCCTGGCCAAGAATGAGTTGTTAAAATGAGCTGAACAAAGCCTGGGTCCCCACCCTGCGTAGGAATCACCCCTGTGATGACAGCTGCATCAGCCTCTAATACCCTCAAAGATGATCATTCTGAAAAGAAGTATCTTGAAGGGCTTCTGCA